GCCCCTCCCGCGCGGGGGAGCCAGCAGCCTCCCACGCCCGCACTCACCGCCGAGGCAGAGGGAGTGGGGGAACTGGATGGAGGTGAGAGCCGGGGCCGAGTCGCAGCGCACGTCGAAGAGGGGGCCGCCCACGATCCACGGCTTTTCCACGAGGCTGGCGTATTTGCTCCAGGATAAGAGGGAGTACGTGATCTTGACGGCTCCCGTTACCTCAAAAATCAAGCCCGTGAGGCTGCACTGGTAAGTCCCCTCTGCGTCCAGCTGCACCCTGCCGTGGGCGAGAGCGACCTCGTTAGTTTAGTTTCCACCATCTAGTAAATACCCTAAGAACGTGGTTTGCATGGGATAACAAACTCCCTTCCCAACACGCACATGCAGAGCACTTTATCTGAATAGCACAGAAGCCACAAAAATTGTTTTTTCTCTAGTCTTTATGTTTAAACTGTCACCGGAGTGTTAAAAACCGGCTGGGAGGACCCAGCCAGAACATGCAAAATAGCTGTAAGAACATTTTGCATAACTTTTCCCGCAAATGAGGCGGCTGCTTTTACACGAAGGGCTCAGCCCGGCTCCCATCGATGTCTGAGCCAACATTGGACGTGGACAACACCAACACCAGACGCGGACAACAACTTCCAACAGAAAACGCCAGGTCAGCACAAACGGGGAGGACAAGTGTTCCTGTGGAGCAGGGCAAGACCCCTCACGTGTGTCCGGACTAAAATAAGCAGGTAAGAATGTGCCTGACGCTAATTACTGCAGCAAGACGAGGCAGGCTGGAAGCTGCCCTAAGAGCTTTCCTGGACCAGCATCTGGAGTCAGCACTGGCAGCTGCTCTAAATTGTTTATTTTTAAGGATTTGGGAGCATCTTCCATTATAACTCCAAATGTATTTGTGCAGCAAATTAGCCTTTTTCCCCACTTAAACCGAAGAGAGAAGTATCTTGATGAGAACAATGTAAACACATAGCCACTATATTTTAAAAAAATCCATACACGTGTTGTCCTCCAGCAAGTCTCCTAGGGGTCACTTGCTCCTTATGGTCCTACAAACAGATTTCAAAAAAACCACATGTTTAAAAAGGTGATGAGAGAGCAGAATTACAATCTGCAAATTATCTCATGCAAAATACGTGGGCGGGTTTGGGGGTTTTTTTTCTTTTTATAAACCTACATTTTCATTTCTGCAGTGCTCGCAGGGTGGGAGACAGCTCACTCCTAGTGAGAAAACAGGAAAATCAGCTCATTAAAAGCAGAGTAATTAAACGCTCAGGAAAAAACCCAGCCCTCTGGAGATCCATTACTACCTGATTCGTTGCAGCGCGGCAGCGATTCCTTCGCCTCGGGTTCTTCATCTACAAAAAAAAAAAAAAAAAATGCAGCAAAAACCCCCGCCCCCCCTGGGTTTCT